CGTAATAATATTTTTCACCTAGTTTGTATAATTCGTCCCCATTCATTTTGTAAATAAAAAAATGCAAGAGATGCACTAAAATTCATTGAAAATATAATATTTATTAAGGTTACACAGTTTATCTATTAGGATTTAATTTTGTATGTACCGGTATGAAATTTTTATAATAGTTAATTTACTTTATTAAAACTATTTTTTTTCGTACTTTATTAAACCAATTTTTTGCCATCAAATAGAAATCATTTTTATAACTTCACACTGCAAAGAGAATTTTTTAAACACTATCAACTTGATATAATTTTTATGCTAGAAAAAAAACTTTATTGGTAATTCGCCTTCGAATAAGATAATGACCATAATACTTATTATGATAGTATATATATATTCTGATAAACAGCGATTAAATTAACATGGTTCGGGCAAACGTAATTCATAATTTGAAACCCAGTTAGTGACTGGTATCATAGTTGACAAAAGTTTTTATACATAGAAGGTATGAATAGCAAAACGGGGTACAAATAGTATTGCCCGATAAAAATTACTTATCGTTATAAAAAACAGTTACTTAACAGGTAAATCGAATTTCGATCATGTGATTAATGCAGGCCAAACTTTCGTACGTAGACTCCGGTGCATTTTTTTTAAATATAAAATTATAGCTCCCATAGCGTTGATGAGATAATCACATGACAATTCTCTATGTAAAGTTACTATAACGCTAGGTTACGATGTAATTTCATGAAACGTAAAAATGTAAATTTATGTAATATAACCCTAGTAATAAGTCAAATAATGAAATTCCCTGCGGTAATTTTGAACTTTAATTTAAATTTGACCATTAATCTTGAAACAATACTGCACAAATTCCGAATAAAAAAATATTTTCAATATTACCTATAATATCAATAATATAAGACTATTAATTTATTTATTTATTTAAAAAAAAATTTTTTTTTTAAACCAAAATTTAATTATATGTTTTATAAAATAACACTATAATCCAATATATTAAATGTCTTTTTATCGTTAATTACACGTAAAATGTCTTTATTTGTTAGTTATACAGTAGTATCCAGCAAAAATGAATTAACTGTATAATAAAATTATCATTTACTCATCCAAAACACCTTCTTCCACAGCACGCCGAGCCTCATTAGAAATTTGACGTAACTCTTCTTCAATAGCATTAAACTGCTCGACTAGAGCGAAAATTTCACTACCACTACCGAACGTCTCCATGATCCTATTTATGATATCTTTTTCACGGGATTGCCTGGCATTACGGAGATCATGATCTAAGTCTTTATATAATGGGAAGCAACTTTGTAATTTCTCATCTAGCTCATTATATTCATCTTGTTTAACCTTAAATTCGTCAATAAGTTCACGAAATTCAGACAAAGTATTGACTCGATATTGACTTTGTTTGATATCGTTATTAACGCCATTTACTAATGTATGACCATTGACCTCACTTGAATCTCGCTTAAGTGGTGTAACAGATGACAATGCTGATGTACTTTTCGAAGTTGATAACTTACTACTACGAGAAGTCGTACTCGTACTTTTCGGCCTTCCTCTTCTACGAGTACCAGATGTTATAGGAGTGCTTGTAGTTTCAGTTGTCTTGCTACTTCGACCTCTGATCGGTTTGCCACCTCGATTTGATAGAACACTTTTAGGATCGTGCTCTATGATTTTTTCATGCTTTTGTAAGGTATTCGGAGTTTTAGCGCCCCTTCCCTTTGGACCTTTCCCTCCTCGTGTTGACTTAGTACTATTACGAACAGGATGCTCATTGTTTGATTGAACTTCCAAATAAGATACTGGTCCAACCTTGCGACGTTTCACAGGCTCTCCATCAAAACTTGTAGAATTTTTTGGTTGGGGTAAACCCAGTTTATCAGCGACCTCGTTCATTTTTTGAACAATGCTACTAACCGTTTTTTGTCCATAACTAAACCAAGAGTGTGGTTCGAGTGTTAACCAGGCGTTAAGCTTAAGTTTCCACGTTCCCTTTTTTGTCGGCTCTGCGACCTGGATAAAAAATCAAATAATTCAATTAAAAATTAAAAAACGGGTTATATAAATATAATTATTTAATTGTGAAGAAGTTACCTCGTCTAATACTTTTTGCACATTTTCTTTACTGTCTTTAACTTTTTTTACGATTTGATCGGTATTTAATTGTTCAGGTTCTAATTCAGTAGCTGCAATTAGATGAAGAACCCTCTTCTTAAGTGGGACACCTGAAGTATCATCGTTTTGGATAAATGAAGAAGAATTTGATAAATATGATACGACTGGTGCTGGCTTGCCACCCTTTCGCTTGACATGATTGGTTTTTGGATTCTTTGGTTTTATAGGATCTGGTATTGGATCTATCACTTGTATTCTGAAAATAGTTAAACCGAGGAAATTTAAAAATATGATTTATAAGAATAAACATAAATATATTTTAAATTATAGTCACTTTTTTTTATCTTTTGCTTTTTGTTCCTCTTTGTAAGCATAACTTAGCTTCTTTTTTGCCAAATCTTTCTTTGCTTTGTAATTTGATTCTTTCGTACTTGTAATTTGATGTTTGATATCTCCAATTATTTCCAACTGATTTCCTTTCAACAAAAGAACTTTTGATAATTTTTCCATGGGAGTTTTTGTGAATTGAAATTTATCTTTTTTATCTTTTCCATGAAGTATTATTTCCTATTTTAAATGAAATATTAAATTAATATAATTACTAAAAATAAAATAAATAAATAAATATTTTTTAACGTAGACAAAAATTTACAACTCTTTATAAAATTGAATTATTTCTTTAATTCAGAAACACATTAAAAGAAAGCGTACAATTTCTTTTGCGTCCTTTGCGACTTTAATTTTCATACTTGATCCATCGCTTCGAGCATCAATTAACCTTTTTAATACATAGTGTGACATGTTCACCGCTATACAATGCTTTTTTGCTGAAGTAGCAACCAACGGAACTTTACTTTGCTCCATATTGGCGAAAATATTAAATTTTTTTTTTTTTTTTTTTTTTGTTTTAAAAAATAAATTTTTTTTTTCTAATATCAATATATGAGATTTGGCGTGATTATTAAAGTGATAATTCATTAGTTTTTGTAGAGGACTTTTTGCGGTTCTATTTAATCACGTGATCCGTGCAACTGTACTTTTTTGCTCTTAACTATATTTGTAAATAATGCCTAGATTTTAATCCCGAGGCTATGTTTCCGAAATTTAAGTCAGTTTTAAAGTCACATTGATTAAGACTAGAGGTTGGAACCGGTTTTAATAATTCGGGTTTATCACGTGAATTTTGTGATATTTTAGAAATTTATCCAATTAAATTTTAATAAATTCTAAAATATCACAAAATTCATGTGATAAACCCGAATTATTAAAACCGGTTCCAACCTCTAATTAAGACCTAGTAAAGTGCAAAATATATGTCTTGAAAATTAAGTATGGATCATATGATTTACTATGTCCCATAACATCATTTTCAAGGAAGACCCCCATATAGTTATTTTAAATTTAGACTTATGCATCTGGAGAAGTTAATTGTAGCAAAAACATCAAGTAATAAATTCTGACAGTGACAAAATCATATTTTGCGCGTGCATTATATTTTGCCCTTTTCGTGTACTTAATGCAATTAAATTCTGTATTGTTAACTCCCGCTCGACTACACTCGGGAACGTCCCTAAATTTTTTTTACTTTTTTTGGTAACAAAAACATGTGATAATCACATGTTTTATTAAAATTATTAGTAGAATTTAAACTTTTTGAACGAAGAATTGCAACAACTACTTAAATAAATTTGTTGAAAATTTTTATTTTAGTTCTATGAAACACAATCAATATTAAAAAAGTTCATCAAATTTGGTTGTAATTGTCGAGATATCTTCAAAATTTTAAAACAATTTTGTTGCGGTCTCCATTTTTTCAAGAGTTTGAATTTGGCTAGGTGGCTGTTAAGATATCTTTCGATTTAACTTTAAAAAAATTATAAAATAATCTTAAGCTAAACTTTAAAATAAATATTAAAAATGCTAGGTTAAAGCCTATTATATTCAAACTTAATTAAATTAAATCATCAAATTTTTTCAAAAGAATTAACTAAAGGCAATGGACTATAAAGAATTAGATTGGTCTGTCTAATCAAACTGGTCGATCAGAATTCATTGAGAGAAGTGCTCGAAGAACACCCTAAGATAATTACGCGATTACTCAATTAATACTAAGGTTTAGAATTAAATTGTTTATTTCACTTTTAACTTTTTTTTTTTTTGTTTCTTCGTTGGGTATAAATTCAAACTTTAAATTATGTTTGCTATATGAACATTGACGAAAAATTTTATACGTATAAAGATTATTTTAAAAACAAAAAACATCCGTGTAACAAAAATTAATTTGATTGGTCGTATTCAACTGGCCAATAAAATCTATTGCAGATCGTATATAAGGCGGATGTTCATGTAAAATCCACGATTACATATAACGAAACTTTGAAGGAATTCAGTAAAAAAAAAAAAAAATGGTTTATTATTTTAGTAGCTCTGGTATGGCGTTGAATAAAGACAATATATTTGTTTTGTTAATTATAAAAAAAACTATTAAACATTTGTAAATTTTATAGTGGTCGATCCACCCGCAATAATATACATGGGAAGGGATAAAGAAGAAAGTATGTTTTGGATTCAATTTTTAATAAATTAGTTGTTAAATTTAGTAAATTGAATTCGATTTTCACAGACATATTATATATACATTCGAAAAATTCTTAATTTATTTGAAATAAAGATGAGGATTTAATCAAACATGGATGGGAAGAAGATGTATGGTATGAAACTTCGATGAATGTTATAACGGACGTTTATAATTATCTATAATAATATTTTATTTATTTCATGTTTGTTTTGGATATTTCGTATTTTAGGGTAAGTAAATTTCATAAAAAAAAAAAAAAAAATTTTTTTATTGCAATTTTATATTCTAAAAAAAAAAAAAAAAAAAATTTTCAAAAATATATAGTTTCACGTACACCCACATTCGAGTGCCCATGTTTATCTTCGACTTCAATTTGGCCAATCATGGGAAAACATTCCAACATCTCTTTTAACTGATCTGGGACAATTAGTCAAAGCAAATAGTATTGCTGGTTCGAGTTTTGATTTAAACTAGTCTCATGATACACATAAATTCGATTTAGTGTGTTAATTATAAAAATAGTGATGCTCCCTTTGACACTTACAAAAATATTAAAGATGTTAATTCCAGAACCTTCTGAGTACAATTTTTTGGAAGTTCTCCACTTCTTAGATGATTTGCTACAAAGATCTTTTCAATTGTTCTACACTTAGCAGCCGTTAAACGTTTATTTTCTAGCTTAGGATTTACAAAAACAAAATCACAAAACAAAATATCTACTACCTTAATAGGAATACTTGGGATGCTTCATCATGATCTTCAACAAAATCAACCTAAAATATTAAAAAAAAACTCTAAAGATCAAATTTTATCTACGGATCTTATAAATACTGCAGATACTGAAAATTCTAGTATTAATCTTTTTTTTGAGGAAGAAAGATTTGAAGAACCTTTAGAATATGATGTCGAAGCAGTAAGTATTGATATGAATGATGTGCTAGTAATAGAAGAATTTTTTGAAATTAGTAATTTTAGACAAGACAATAAAGTTATTAATGAAAGTTCAAGTTCAGCAATTCATGCTAGCAATGAGGATTAGTCAATTGATGATATCTTTTCCCAAATCGAAACTTGATTATATTGTAATTAGTATATTTTAAGCAATAAATAAATATTTGAATCAAATATTTTTTCTTACTAATTTCTGATCTAATTTCTGGCAATTTTGTGCACAAAAAAGAAAAAATACACTAGTTATTAAGGCCTGCATTGGCAAAATAAGAACTCATTTTTTTTTGCAACTAAGAAATTTCTTAGTCAAAAACAACTACTATTTTTTATTTTTTATGATTTTGATTGATTACATATTTTTAAATTATTAGAATCAGCCTGCAGTTGAGATCAAAATTTTTAATTTTAACTTGTACATAGTTATACTTTTGAGGCATCCACTACCTATTATTTTAATTATGGTTATTAGAATTCAAATCTTTACCTAAATCGTTATTCTCTAGTATACTATTTTTAACTTATTGTATTGTTATTTAAAGAAAAATTAGTACAATACCTAAATTCTAGTACGAGTCTTTTGTAAAACTAATTGATAATTTCTTGTACATATGAGGTTCGAATCTTTTAATTAAAAGAAAATAGTACAATATTAGAATCACTTCTAGGATAAGTTAGTAAACTAGGTGTCGAATATAATATGAAAGATATCTAAAAAATAAAAAACAAACTATCGAATATGCGCTGCCTAATAGTTATAATTAGTTATAGTATACATATATAATACTATGTATAACAGTATGTAATATGTTACTAGCATGCTATGGCACGAATAGCATGCACATGGCATGCCAATTTTTTTGGGTATGCCAGATACCCTACTCTTATCTTAAACTAACATCACCACTATAGTTAACTGCTTAAGCCAGCTAGCTTACTTGCAGATCTATTTACTGCATAGCTTAGGTCCTCTCAGGATACGTATTGCCTAACATATTGTGAGCACATAGAGCTCCAGTTAATCTCAGAAGTAATTCCTATCAGAGTGGTCATGTGTCTATTTTATAGATTCATCTAAATTAGACTTTTGTTGATATTTATACAAACCTAGTTCCTGCTGTAGCTATCTACCAAATATAGTACTCCAAGTTCTAGCCAAAAGTTTCATGAGGTAGATTACTCACAAGTCAAACATATAGATATAAGTAATTCCAAACCCTAATTCATAGTCTCAGATACCTCACGACCCAAAGTATAAAAGTAAGGTATCTTATCACCCAATATATATGAACAGAGCATATCAGATATATATAGAAAGAATACAAGCACATAATTTATGATATCAAAATACAAGTCAAGCATATACAATACTTCAAACTCTAGACCCATATTTATTCTGTCAGCTATGCTATCTAGAAACAAACCTTCACTGATTATATCACAACTTTTGGAATTAGTATAAACGAACCTATTACACCTGATTCTATTCTCAACAAACTGTAATTGTATACTTAGAATTAACTAATAGCTCTATCTACTCTAGAGCCAGAGCAGCAGCACGTAATATAATATTTAGTTGCCAATATAATACTCCTATAGAAAACTCTAAAAACATTATTGAAACCCTCCTAGTTAAATATACTCGATATACCCTATAATCTTATCTCCTTTTTGGCTTTAAAGCTACAGCTTTTGATACCTATATTGAATTCCCAGCTAGTACCCTTACCCTCAACCCTTATTTAAATAAAACTCTAGCAGAAGCACTAGGTGATCTTAGTTCCCCTATCCCTAATGAATATACTAGTAGTTTTGATCATTTTGAATATAGTTCTATAGTTAGTCAATACTCTATAGATTCAAACCAAGCTACAACTTCTTCATCTACTTTAACCTTTTATAATGAAGACATTACTCAAATCCAATTTCTCTCATGAGACAGACTATGAACTTCTACTCTACCCCTAACTAATATCCCTCTCAGACCTCCTATTTATACACTCCCCTCTCAATTTCTCTTTACTCTTTCTACTAATACTTCTAATCAATGATATTTCAATCTTAATATAAATCCTCGAATAGCAATAACTAACTTTATTCATCAGTTTACCTTTACTACTACTTCAGCTAATAGGAACCTTCTAATCTCTAGAAATTATTCTCAAGCTAACCTAGACCTTAATAATACTTCTTTCTCACACTATACTTCACTAGATTCTTCATCTCCTTATCAACTTATTCGATACCCAAACTAACCTAATTAACTCTTTGATAACATAATACAAATTTTAAATGATTTTGAAATTGATTACAATCCTCTAAATAATCAGAAAAATCAAGAAGACTACAATCTTGATAATTTCTTTAATATTGAAAATAATAACCAAAAAGCAGAAAACCAACAAGAAGACTCAGACCACAAAACTATTAAATCAGAAGATATTAACATGGGTGACCAAACTTTACAAGATGCTGTTAATACTATGACTGTATTAGCTCGAGCCTTAGGTGCTAGCAGTGAAAAGACTCTGTTTAAGATTGAATCTTTTTGAGGTAATGAAACTAAGACTCTATAACTTGATTAGATAATTTTGAACAAGCAGCTAAGGCTAACAGATGGAATGCTACCTAAAAACTTGAACTTGTATTTGCTTATCTAATAGACAATACTTAGGAATAGCTTCAAAGCTTAGTTAATACTCCTACTCATTTTAGACATCAACAGCATAGACAAGTAGTTGATAGACAAAATGTCTATAGTTTTTACTATCTATTTAGAGAAAGATTCTGCATTACTCAACAAAAAGCTACATGGCAAAAACAACTTTTCATTATACAACAAGGCTCAGATACAGTTGATACCTATGTTAACAAATTTAAACAATTAAAAGAATGAGTTGATTCAGAAGATAATTTCCCAGTTAGTTTCTTAACTCAACTCTTTGTATAAAGACTTTGACCAGAATATTCAGTAAATGTCTAAGCCTCAGAACCTGCAAATCTAACAGTAGCAAAAACTATAGCACAATGATAGGAAACTGGAACACTTATAGCTTCTAATACAAATTCTAGTATAGACAAAGCTATTGAATAACTCACTAAACAAATAGCTGAGCTAAGCATAAACCTTGCTGAGAAACAGACTACCTCTACCCCTAAACCAATCTACTACTCAAATAATTCTAATAGAAACAAATTTGACAACAATAATCAATAGGATATCACTTGCTATTATTGTGGAAGTAAAAGACATTATATTAAAGATTGTCATAAATGAAAAGAAGATGCCTGATATGATTCTTATTCTGATTCCTGACCTAGTCACTACAATAGTTACTACTCTAATAATAACTATAGGTCAGATAATAGAAGGAATAATAACTGATATTATGACCATTCTCGATCTTGAGAAAGAAACAAATTATATGATAATAACAGACATTATAACAACTCTAGGTATGATGACAGAAATAGAAGCCAAGAAAGAAGCTATTCACAAGATAAATACAGAAATAGAAACAAAGATAACAATAGCTGAAGCAGATTCCAAGTTGATTCTCTACTCCTTACTCTAAAGAAGCTTATGTAGCAGACCTTGTTAATTATGATTATGAACAATTTGAATCACATTTCTTTAACGAGTTATTGCAAACTACTATAGAAACCTATTTTATTACTCCCTCTTCTAGTGCCACTATTCAAATCTCAACTCATACTACACCTATCAAATGTAATATCAAGATTAAGAATAAACTCTATCAAGCTATTATCAATAGCAGAGCCTCTATTAGTATTTTTGTATATATAGGTTTCAGTTTTAGTAGAGTTAATAGAAATTTAATATAGTTAAATGAAATTATTATGATCAATATGTTGATATACAGATTCAAGTATTTGTAGAATATTTAATAATAGTATTTTATGTTGTATGAAGAATTTTTAAAGTAAGTATATTTTTCAGCAAGAGTTGAAGTTATAGAAGCTGAGGGTAAGTAGAAGTCTTCTGTAAATTCACTCATGGAAAGTATTATAGTTTGCTCTATATGTTGAGTCTAACTATTATAATTCTAATCCTTTGTATAAATAGACTTTCCCACCTATCTACTTATAACATTCTTTTCTAAAAATAGCTTACAAGAAGTAGAGGATATCATTATTTTAGAGGTAGTAGTTGTATCTATATTATTTACAGAAGACAAATTTATAAATTTTGAGTAGTAATTTCTGCATATAAAAGTTTAGAACTATTGAGTGTTAATTCAATAGTCTCCTTAGTTTAGTTATTTTCTTGTTGTAAAGAAGAAGAATTTTGAATGATATTTGTATTGAAGAGTAAAGATTGTTGAATAGATTTTAGTTATTTGAAGTTGATTTTAAATTTGTTATAAATTATTTGTTGAGCTTGAGGATAAAAAGTTGTTTTGTATTTTGAATGGATTTGAGGTAAACTAATAGAAGATTGATATGAAATATAGTAAAAAGTAAGAATACTTGCAAGGAAGTGTGTATTAACAAGGCCTTGAGTGACTTTTATAATTGCATCATATTAGCTTAGCTCAGAGATACTATTATTTCCACTTGCAGCTAAAAGAAAAGTCTTGAAGTAAGTTTAAAAGTAATATGTATATTATTTGTAATTAGTTAGAGAGTTATTAAGAAATATAAATTCTTTTTTAGCTTTATTAGCTAGTTTATTAAAAAGTAGAATTGGAATTAGAATTTTGAAACTAGCTTTATGTTTTTGGTTTTTACCAAATATTTTATAGTTAAGAGCAGGATGAATAATTTTTGGTTTTGTATCATTACTATCAATATCTATTTAGTAGTAACAAGAAAATAAATATAAGAGTTTTTAAAAATAATTTTTGAAATAGTAAAGAAGTCATATTTTTAATCAGCAGAAATTAAAGAATATGTTTGAGTAGTATCAAATTCACAAATGTGAAGATGAAAGTGAGTTGCTTTAGTTGATTATTTAGAATGATCTTGTAGTGAAGAAAGATTAGAGTATTCAAAGGATTCAGAAAAAAGATTTTTTTAATAAGAAGAAAATTAAAGATAGATTTGGTATTTGATGTAGTTTATTGTTTT